TCCATTTGTGTTCAATCCGTGTTTTTTGCAATCGAGTGTCTTGAAAACTTCTTCCAGGGCCGTTGTGAATAACTTCAGTGATATTACATCGCCTAGTCGGATATCTTTTTCAACTCTGAAATTGACTGTACTTCCACGAGGTTTCCCACTAGCAGTCTCTTCTTGTAGTTTATGGCGATCAAATTTATGCATCCTTACTCGATTCTCTGGCTCTTGGAGGGACTCGATACAGAGCTTATGTAGACTGCGTCGAAAGCCTTTTTCAAATCGATGAACCACAGGCAGAGTGAAGGCTGATTTTGTTTGCTTGGTTGAATTATATATTATGGCTATAGTACATCATGGCCGGGTGATAAACTATGCTCTCATGAGCGTATTCACCAAGCAACCTGTACTTCCACGATGGAAGCCTAAACACACCGATGCTCCGCATCATCAATTGCAAAACGATGCAGATCGTTACCAGAGACTCGAGTCAGACGTACAGCACACATTGGGTCTGATCATCAAATGATCGCAGTGGAACGCTGCGTAAAATTACCGGTATCGCATCTACATCGACTGACTGAGACGCATCAGCCGCTCCATGTTTGCAGGCTAAAATATGATGAAGCGGCGCGATTGACTTACCAAAACGGCAGAGAGTCCTTTTAGCATCGCACTGAGTGCCTCGTCAAGAAGTGGCAACATCAGTGAAGTTTATAAACATTTTAAAATGACGTAAGTTATCGTTGAAAAACGTATTTGTTGTCATGGTGGGCGGATATCCAAACTCCTGATTTACGTAAAGGATCCTAACTCTTAAAGTGCACAGGAAGCAGGCAAAGAATCAATTCTTTCGACTCCCTACTAAATTGTCAAAAACAGCTCATCGTCGTCTCGTTCGTGCAGTCAATCAAAGTTTCAGGCTCGACAAGCAACTTTGGCTGGAATGGGAAACCAAGAAGATAACTGACCGAAAGTGTTCGATGGCGTGCGACAGTTGCTCCGTAAGCACAGGACAAACTCCGTCGCTATTCAAGACGCTACAGATGTTCCATTTTCAGGTCAAAAGAACACCTCAGAAAAATTTACTACTCACTTCCAGCAGGTGCAAAATAGCTGCTCTTTAGATTTGTCATCTCTGACCGCCGATTGTGTGCCAAAATTAGATGCCACGTCAGATCCATCCACGCGACTAGAAATCCATGTAGGACTGCAATGCATCAAGGTGATGAGGACCTGCAAGGTGCATTGAACTCATTGAGTATGGATAAAGGGCAGTGTGTAAAAACTCCGCGCTCCATTTCATCCATTTTGTGCCTCCAGTTGTTTTCTTGAAGAATGGAAGTGTGGAATAATTGTCTTTCTATTATAAAGAATTCGGGCGACCCAGCGTTTCAATTATCGCGGCATCATACTACTATCAACTTCCGGGAAACTCTCCTGGATAATCTCGCAAACGCTGGAGTAGGCAGTTGACGGGACACTTGACCCAATTCAAGCAGAGCGTTCCTGATTGGACTCTCTAGAACCAAACGTTCACTCTGCTTAATATCATCGCGCAATGCCGGCCATTTCTCTTGTTTTATTTTGCCAAATTATTCTACTTTAGCAATGCATTTAGTTCACCGATCGTTCGATGACGTAGAAAAGATTGAAATGCTACGGGACATTTGAGCACATCGTTTTCATTGTGGAACAGGTGTATGCATGAACCCTGTCTGCTATTAGAGTTAAGAAAGATCCATTTGAATGGTTCCCTATTAAGTACGAAGTTCGCCAAAGAAAAATGTACTTTCGTTTAGGCTACTCAACATTGCCTTGGACTTTCTTTTCTGAAGCAGCGCTGACGCCGGCAAAGATTAAAGTTTCATTCTATAGATTAGACACAGTTTAAGATGTCCGGCTAGATGTCTTGCTGATCTGAAGTAAGTATATGATATTGTACTGAATAATAGTAGTTGTCGGCTCTGTCACCTGACGGCTTTCGTCTGCAGCACTGCGCAGCCTTTTTCATAACGTGCGGAAGTCAAAAGTTGTGAGGAGCCCTTGCGGAGCAGTTAATCAACAAGTGCAATCGGAATTTTAAGCGCTCATTGAAACTAACCATTAAAAAAGCTTTGGTTCCATAATCTCCACCGGTGATACTCTCCAACTCTGCAATGTGATTTGAATTGTTAAACCGCCTTAGCCTCGAGTGCTTTCGGAAATCAATATTTGGGCTGAGAAAGAAAAATCTGTCTCAAGAAAAATCTTCCCGTGTCTTGCCTCTATAAAGTCACTGTTACTGTACTGCAGAGAGACAGTTGCACTGACGAAGAAGCAAAACCGACGGCTGAACTGCATACAGCAGCGCTGGTTTTGATGCATAGTGAGAGTTATTGAGAGGACCATGTAAGGGACGACTCTATTCTCTTCCGAGCACATGTAATCCTAGTAGCTGCGACAGTTAAGAAATAGAGGTTGGCATTGCACCGTTTACTCCAGCCCCCGTAGCTTCCTGTATGGGAGCAGAAACACGTCAGACGTCGATCAGGAATCCAGCATGAGACCTGGCGGAAAATACAGGCAGATCTACCTTCAGAGAGAAGTATTTTTTCCTCAGTTACATTGGCTGGATCTTTATGCCAAAAGTGTTAAAAAGCAACGAATACAGTGGACATCACAATTGAGAGACGTCATTCCTTATAAAATGCGTTATAAACATAATAGCACATTACTTGATCAAGCATAGACAACGTTTTAGAATATTGACACCTGCAAATCTACACAAAATTTTGAAAATTACGGTTTCGTGTGGTGTGCATGCTCCCATTTCACTCGATGATTGGTAGCCAAATTTTTAACGAAGACGTGAGTTCCTTCTAAAATAGATACCTAGTGTTAATGAGTATCGCATTCTTCCTAGCTTATAGGAGGGAGAGTAAGTATGCAGCATTTACTGAAGTAGTACAGCAACGCTAATTCACATTCGATGATCCACAGCTTAAGTCTCGTATAAATTCCGTGAAGGGTAGCAGTGTTTTCGACGTACCCAAAACGTAATTTATACGTATGTATTTACTTTATTCATGGACCAACCTGATGCCAATACTCGTCAACCAACGTTGATAAGCATGTGAATTGGAAGAGCGACGCTAATAGAAAGAATGGGTCATGTCTTTTGATTTCTGCAATGATATCCTGCAATTCGCTTTGATCCAGCTGATAGCTGCTTATTTAATATGGTAATTAACAGATCTTGTAACCCATGTTGTTGTTGCTGTTGCAATTAAAAGGTCGCCAAAATCTTGTGCTACTTCACGTATTCCTGTTTTACGATGAAGTGGCGTGTAGAATCTCCATTTCGCCTTATTCACGGATCCTCAGATGTTCTCGGCGTTAAAGTTGCCTGAATCTTCTATTTGACTGGATTTCAGTAGTTCTCATTTGTCAGAATCTAGTCAGAAGGTGTACTCCATGACAGAAAGACTTCGACTTAGTTTATTTAGGGATCGATAATGACCATGATCCAAACCCGCCCATGAGCGTTTGTGATCATTTTTCCTTCCAGAGCAAAATTGCCTGAAGAATACGATTGTATCGACCCAAGACTGCCATGGCTACATCAGTAGACCGTTTTCAGGCAAGCGTTGGTAGTTATCATGGCTGTTAGGTAGAATACATTTTACGTACGTAGGTACATTTTACAGAATATGTCTTCAGTCTTAGCATATGACGCGCTTCAGGCGTTGGGCCCTCTCCACAGCATGAAAATCTAAGTTGGATCATCAGAGAACGGTTGGAGAAGCATAAGTTTATAGCAAAATTTCTTTTAACTTTGTCCTTTAAGGCGCATAATTGGAGAAAACGAAAAGAGCAAGTATCTCGTGTATTTATGCACTTGTTTGCAGGCGACTTGATCGAATGCAGTGTTCCCATATGACGTTTTGCATGAATTAGTATTGATGTAACACACGCCGTTATCCTGACCAGATGCTAAACAGGTCAAGAAGTGGCAGGATTTGTTTCGAACTGTCTTAACGTCTGCTTGATGTAGCCTGCATTTCAATGTCAATTTTTAAAATACTGTTCTGCGCTGTGAATTTCAAGCTACCTCAGATATGCGACCGTCGATTGCATGATCGTCGTTGTGTATCGTTCATCGCTTGTGGTTAGCTTCGAGTTGCAAAGTTCAGAAGCATCAAATGCATGCGAACTTTGCTGA